AAAGATTACTCAACTGTCTCATAAGTCAGAAAATACCAATAATATGGCAATAACCTGCTTTTGTAAAAAGTGAAACAGGGCTATGGGCATAGTTCAGTGGCAGAGTGTGTGCTTAGCATGCTCAAGGCCCTGGCTTCTAGCCCCAGCACCCAAGGGGCAGGGGTGTAGGAGAGAGGAATAGGGAGGAGGGACATGAAGAAAGGAAAAGAGGGAGAGAGGGAAGGAGGAAGGAGGGGTCAAAAGAAAGGAAGAAAATAATACTAGCCTAATTTTACAAAGCTTCTTAAGAGAAAGGAAAATTGTCTTTAGGCAAAATATTTCTTAGAAATGTCAACTCTCTTAGGGCAAAATAAAGCAAAGAAGCACATAAGAGAAAATGATTATAAGCAGTCGTATTAGAACATAGAATATAAAAAAGTATGCATGAATTCAAAATTTTATGTTTATCTTCCCACCTAAAATACTTACTTGACCAATAGAGGTTAGACTTTGTTTCCGAAACCATTGCTCTTTATATTCCGACAACTGCTTGAAATTGCACCAGCTTTCCCCTGTTTACAACACAACCTTTTTTGCAGAACTTTTAATTTTACCAACTTTGTTCAATTCATGTTGAGCAGAAAAGCTATCTCTCTATTCCACCACTGTCTTTCCAAGTTCCTAACAGTACAGTGTGTTTTAATTAGCTTTTTATCTCTATTACAAAATTCCTGGGAAAATCAACTTTAAAGAGAGGTTTATTTTGGCTCACCATTTCAGAGGTAGTCACTTGGCCTGGGCCTTTGGGCTTGTGGTGGTGCAGAATATTAGGCCAGGAGTGTGTGGTGGAAGAAGGCTTTTCTAGTCCTGGAAGCCAGGAAGCAAAGAGAGCCAAGAAGGTACTAGGGTCCTCCTATTATCCCATTCAACAGCACATTGGGATCAATGATTTAATATCCTTGCTCTATGCCCTGTTTACCAAAGGTTCTACTCCTAATACTTCTAGTAAGCCTTCAATACATGGGCCTTCAAGGGATTCAAGATTCAGACCATAATATTCAGTGTATATGAAGTATATTTGAAAGAACTGTATTTTCCTTTGGAAGATTCTATTCATAGAATGTCCCCTTTCCCCTCTCCTTCCTCTTCCTTCTTCTTCTTCTGTCCTGGGGATCGAATCCAGGGCCTTGAGAATGACAGGCAATGCTCTACCACTGAACCTGATCCTCAGCCTTTTCTATTTGATCCAGGATCTAAGTTGCCAAGGCTGGTCTCAAACTTCATGTCCTTCTGCCTCAGCTCCTTGAGTAGTTGGGATTACAGGCATGTGCCACAGTGCCCAAAGACCAACCCCACCAAACTTATTTTTCCCCAGGAAGAGTACATGAGTTTGCATGTTAACCAAAAGGGGTGGGAAAAAAAACCTTAATTCTTCTGGGAAAAGAATTTCAGTTTAAATTTGTGATAAGCAGAATCTGAAGTTGAACCCAATGACCCTCACCATTGTGTGATCTCGTTCTCTGTAGGATGTCAGGACTTGTCATTATGGCAAAGTGGTTTTGTGATGTAATAAGGTCCCAATCAGTTGACATTAATATAGTAAGATCATCCTGTGGGCCTGACCTAATTACAAGAGTTCCTCAAATCTGGGTCTGGAGGTTAGTAATGGAAGAAGCTCCAGTATAAGAGGAATGTGTGACTGAGGAAAACTGTTCCACTATTCCTGTCAATGCATAAGAAAGATTTGAGCATCAGGGGCCTGGACAAGAATATGAGCAACCTTTAGGAGCTAGAGTATCCCCTAGATGACAATCAGGTGACCTCAGTCTTATACCTGCAGGGGACTGGATTCTGCTACAAAATTTAAAAAATAAAAAATAAGGCTGGAAGTGGAGTTTTCCCATTCTTTCAGATGAACCTCAGCCCTTGATTTAAGCCTTATGACTCCTAAGAGATCCTAGAATACAGCCAGAGTGTGCCAGACTGAGTGTTGTTTTAAGCTGTTGAATTTATAGCAATTTGATGCCTCAGGAGCGGAAAAAAAAAAAAAAAAAAAAACTAACGCAAAAAGGCCTTCTCTCAGAATCTGAAGACCCTATACTAAAGGCAGTACAGTCTAGTGATTATAATCACACACTATGGACCCAGACTGCCTGGCTTTCAATTCAGCTCTGCCACTTAATTGTGTGATGTCAACTCTTCAGCAAGTAATTTAACCCTCCGAGCTTTAGTTTCCTCAACTGTGAAATGAAGGTGAAAATAACAGTATTTAAGAAAGGGGGTGAGAAGACACACATGGACTCAGCATGTCCCCTTGCCCTAGCCAATACTCATCCTGTGAGGACCTTGGAAGCATAAGGTGTAGGGCAGGGACCCTTCCTGGTTGGGGCTAAGTTCAGGCTGCTCCAAACATACCTGGGTTACACTTCTCACAAAGTGATTAAGAGAATCGGAAGTGTTGGTCCAGAGGCAACAGTATCATCAGTGAGTGGACTAGGCTTTTGGTAGGAGTTTTCTAACAAAGGCATCCAGAAATAACTTCAAAAAGTGTCTTCAGGCTGGGGTTGTGGCTCAACGGTAAAGCACTTGCCTTGCACGCATGAGGCCCTGGGTTCGATCCTCAGCACCACATAAAAACAAATAAATAAAAAAATACTTGTGTCCATCTGCAACTAAAAAAGATTTTTTTTAAAAAAAGTGTGTCCTCAATTTACAGTCCTAAAGCAAAGATGGTCAGATCTACACCTCAGGAGGCAGTGTGTACCTGATTTTTATAAGAAAAGTACCAGCAGCCATCAAGACATTAGTGTGGGGTAAATTTAGGTTTGTTTTCATTTAACCCAAGATACTTTCCCTTCTACTTATGAAGTAATTCTTTGTGCAAGTTTGTAAACTATTTTTAGCTCATCTTTATTTTATAGACAGTGCTAATCTAGGCTGGTAGTTCTCAAAAGTCTGACCCACAGAACTTCTCAGGCCTAGGACCCTGAGGTGGTTTCTGAGGTCAGAACTACTTTCAGAACAATATTTGCCTTTGTGGCTGTGTTGTCATTTACATTATGAAAAACTGCTACTGCCTTAGCACAAATTGAGGCAGCTGCACCAACTGTGGCATCGAATTCTCCTTTGACAAACTGTTAAAAAAAAAAAAGCAGTGAAAACCACTGATTTTATTAAATATCAATCCTTGAGTCTCTTTTATTTTGTATAATATTATATGTAATATTATATATAATCTTGTAGCACTTAAGATTGAACCCAGGGCTTTGCATGAGCTAATATTCTACAATATGCCCAGCCCTTTTTATTTTTGAGATAGGGTCTCACTAAGTTGCACAAGCTGGCCTCAAAACTTGTGATCAGCCGGACCACCCCAACCCATGGGAATATATGAAATGGGTTTATTGATATTTTTAAACTTTAAAAAAAAAATTTTAATTTTTGGTATCAATAAATGTCTCACATCAATTTTTAAGAGTTTGGTGGAAAGGGGTTTGAGTTTGAAAACTGATGACCTTAGGTAAAATTTGGGTAAATCCTCAAGTGACACAGCCCCTGGCATACTATATGCACTAGGTGGTGCTGACCAAATTCATGAATGGATATGTATGAATCAGCAGGAGGAACTGGAAACTATGCCAAGGTTTAGTTCAATTTGTCTTCTAAAAAATCCACCTATGACACTGAGCTTTTTTATGATCATCCTCACACAACTGCTAAACAAACAGTAATAGGAATTAATAAATAAAGTTCTACAACCTAGTGTCAAGAAATAATAGGTTAATTCATGCATTTTAAAAAAATTTCTCATAGACAAATACTAACAGCTTTAAAATAAATGGAGATGGACTTTAAGAGACTAAAGGTATGATTATGTGGCTTCATGGTTGTAGTAATTAAAGAGAAAACATTGTTTAGGGGTGTGGTTAAGTAAGTCACTAAACATTCCAATAAAATCTTATCAGTGTGTTATTAAAAAAGTGAGGAAACCATTCAATGGAAAGGCAAACCACACACTGGATAAATACATCCATGATGTACTTGACAAAAACTTTTAACAGAATATAGAAAGGATTCCTACAAATCAATAAAAGGACAACCCAATACAAAATGAGCAAAATACTTAAGAACCTGACAAAATTAAGATGCATAAAAAGTTTTGATAAACTTATGAAAAGATCATTAGCAGAGGGATGAAAATTAAAATAATCAGGTACCACTACACAGCCATGATAATGGCTAAGTTGATAACTGATATATTTTTTCAGTGCTGATCTAATCCAGGATCTTGCCTCATCCTAGGCAAGTGATTTACAACTGAGCTACATTCCCCAGACCAACTATACCAAATATTGATGAGGATTAAGAACAAGTGGACCTCTCATAGGTTGTTGTTAGGGGCAAAAGTGATAAAATATGACATTTCTCAAAAGTATTGTAAGAACAAATCGAAAGAGATACTACATATATAAGGGAAATTTTTTTTAAATGTCCATAACAAAGGTTTGCAGTGCTCATGTTTATTCACAATAGTCCCAAACTGTAAACAACCTGTTTTTTAGGTGAAAAAAAAAAAAAAACTGAGATAGAATAAAACATACTGCTTTCTGGAAAAGAAAAATACTAAGTTGCTTTGCATTCAATTTCTAGAATAACTATATAATCCTAAGTCTCATTAAAGTAAGCTTCCTTGGGTCTTTGCTTCAGATTTCTGCAGTTACGAGATTTGCACCATGTCTACTACTAAAAATTCATTTGTGAGACTTCTGACTATTGAATTCATTTGAACTTGAAAGGCTAGTTCTTCAGAGGTTGTTTTCCCAAGATAACATTTTCTCCCCTCAGTGCTGGGGATTGAAACCAGGGCCCTGTGCATGCAGCGTAATCACTGCCCTCCATCCCCTCCCAGGTTGAATACTTAGGCAATCTTGCCAGCTGCCCAAGTAAACATTGTTATTTGGCTTATAGTTAAATGGGAGTAAAATTTTATGTAAAAACATTTAGCACACATTCCACTTTTTCTATAAAAATATAACTCTTTATTAAATAACATGCACAAATATCAACTAGTCATTTATTAAACAGATATGATTTAGAACAAGATTTAAAGAAATACAAATCCTTAGGTACAATTTAGTATCTTGTTCATGATATTTGAATAGTTTAAAAAGAATCACTGATTAATCTAACCATCATTTATTTTTCTTTCAGAATCCAGAACCTTTTTAGGTATATACCCCATTCCAAGTTTTTTTTTTTCCTGGTACTTCGGAGCTTCAGAATATCTTTAATATCAAGAGCCCTTAACTATTTACTTGATTATAAATTTCCAATAAGAAGGCAGCAATGTTTCTTTTATGCTATCCTGATAAGCTTTTAGTCACCTTACAGAGAAAATCTGTAGAAGTAGAATCATGGCAGAGGCTCCAGCTTTTTGAGGTACCATTGAAAGGGGGAGTACTGTGGTTAAGACTAAAAAGCTGGGATGACTGACATTTGCCAGATTCCTGCTTGTTTGCTTTTTTTCTTCTACAGCTTGTTCTGTTTGGTCAGTGATATTTCCCCCTACCTTTTCTCTAGCTGGACCATCAGAACAAAATGCTCTATACATTTATCTGTTTTATTTTTCATCACTTCAATGCTTAATAATCTGAGTTTATATTTTATGACTTTCCACATGATCCCATCAAATTTTCTTTTGAGGTGAAAGTATAAATAAAGGTTGCAGTAAGTTTTTCCTATTAAAAAGTATTGCTTTTATAAATTAGCTTTTAATGTTCCCAGCCTTAATAAACTTAACTTCAACAAAACCAGTGCTTCAAAATCTACCCTGCCTTTCTGGCCTGATTTATCCAATAAAAAAGGCCAACATTGCTCACCTAAATTTCTAAACAAAACAAACTATATCCAACTTTTATAATAAAGTCCTTGCACTGTGTATTTTTTTTACACGTGCTGCTTTATTGCGCATGCTAAGTACAGTAAGAATGAAAATAGAAACTGATGTAAAAATTCAAAAATCCCTAAGCTTAATATGTACCTTTGCACTCAAAAACATTTTGACATTCTCTCCCAATAGCTGGCATTTTCAACTTGAAAGTTGAATTTAAACCACCTTCATTCCTCATATTTTCTTTTTAGTTTTTAAAAACATCCAGTGTTATTTTATAAATCAAGAAAGTACTGTGGAAAGTTTCATAAACTCCATCTCATATACTTATGATGAATTTTACACTAAGCTAATTTTCCTTTCAAAAATGTTCTCCAAGTTCAGCAGCAGGTTTTAGATCTGAAATAGTCCTGAATATTTTATCTATGTTATAGGAGAAACTGGATTTTTCTAAGCATATTGCTAATTATTATAAAACAGCATACCAAATCTTAATTATAAAATTTTGCAAATTATGTCTTGCATCTTGATACACAAGGAAAAATACTTAACATATTAATCTTTCATAAACATTCCAGAGATCAATTGGAATATTTCTAAGAAGCTTTTGCTTATTTTGACTAGCAATATCTTTTTAAGTACTCAGTTTTTATTTTAAAAGTGCAAAGGTTATTAAGCTTAAAACATTAAATTTAAGCAATGTAAAAAAGTTTTACAATGATTTAACATGACCAATAAAATTTATTAAACATATTTACATATATTCACAGATTCTTTCATAGTTGAGTATTAAAATAGACATTTACAATTTTCATTCAAAGGCATTTTTGTTGTTGTTCCAGCAGGAAATAGGCTCTACTGTGAGATGAAAAAAGAGCTGAGCTTCTTCATTTGACTAATTCTAAATAATGTGTCCAACACAGTAAGTCACAGGTTCTATCACAAGAGACGAGTATGAAACGCCTCACACTGTTCCAGGCATCAATATGGACAGAATTAAATTATAGGAAGCATGCAATACAATTAACTCACAATCTTTACAGTTATGATGATGAAAACAAGCTAACTCAAACACATGCATGCCTTATTTAAAGGTTTGCTACCTGAACACACTGCTAGTACACTCCTTACAAACTACAACTTTGGTCCAATAAAGCATTAGACAAAACAGTTTTACAGTTATTTCTTTGTACATGTTTTGACTACCAATCCCTTTGTATACACATTTTGACCATTAATTACAAGATGTACATCTGCACAATATGTATAAAATAAGTTATTAAAAAGGAAGACAATATTAAAACTTTCAAAAAGAAAACTATACAATTAATTTACAGATATAATAAACTGAAGAAATTTTGTGCCAAGTTTTTCTTCCATATTAGAAACTATTTGGTAGTAATGGAACTTTTTAGTTTACTGATAAATTTTTAATAAAACCTGAAAGAGATCTGAATACTATTGGTTATCTTGTGACGAAAGAGTGCTAACAACTTCCAGCGCTGTTAGCAGATTCTCAACTTTTTAAATATCTACTACAGTCTGCCAACATGCTTTAACCAATAGTAACCTTTCATCAATATAAATAATAGTTTTCTGTTAGAAACTGTGTTTGGACCTAGGATCCAAAATATTTCTCATTTTTATAAAATGACAGTGTTTACTACATAACCAACTTTAATCCAATTTTACGAACAACTGTAAAGGCATAATATCAGTATTTTTGTCAAAAGGCAGTATTCCACAGTATAATGCTTGAGCATCATCAGTTTAGAACAACACCACCAAGATGTTATAACTGCTATATAGGAGTCAATTCAAAGTCATCATTAACATCAACAAGGGGAACATAGAATTCCTGAATTTCGTAAATGCTGATAGATTTATAGGTGGCAGGGTCAAGTTCCTGGAGTTTGAGCTGCCATTCTAATCTCTGGACAGCATTTAAAGCTGCAGCTTCATGTTGTTGCCTCATTAAAAGACAGGTCTATTTAAAAGAGAAGAGTTAATCAATTATCATGTTAAATGTGCCCCGTTCAAAAGCTAATTTCCCCCATGGTTTCTTTTTTCTTTAAATTTTTTTTTTTAGGTGTAGTTGGACATAATACCTTTATTTTATTTATTTTATGTGGCTCTAAGGATTGAACCCAGTGCATCGCTGATGCTAGGTGACTGCTTACTGCACTCCACAACCCCAGCCCCACCCAGTTTCTTTAGGGACTTAGATATTTACACACATTAGGAATCCTAAAAAAAAAAAAACAAAAAAACAAAAAAAAAAAACACTGAAATTAAAAGTCTACTTTTGTTTCACTCTATTGCTATCAACACACCAACTATCTCTGGGTCTGCACCTTCATATTCATGAATTTTGATTGAAAAACATTGTTTCAAATTATGAGATTTCAAATTACCAATGGAATCATTGAATCTACAGAGAACTGCCTGAAAATCTTAAATAATTTCCTTTACAGATCTACAAAATATATTCCATCTTTTAATGTTTTCCTTTTCTTCATATATTGGGACTATAACCAGACTGGTCTACTGGGGAAGCATGAAAATTCACATCAGAAGCTGCTTGTTCGATGGTAGTTTGGTCTTTTATACATTAGTCCTTAAAATGGACCTGCGGCCTTCATTTCCCTTTAGCTTTCCAATTGTGGTCCACCAGGAAACTCATTAACCATTATTTCTGTTTCGAATTATCTCTCCCCAATAGAGAGGCAGTTTCCAACTCAGAAGGAAGAAACATTTATTTAAATTACTTTGAAACATACTTACCTTTAATTTGTCAAATTTATCATCCACATCTTGTAACCAAGACATGAACTGTCTTGCATTAAAGCGATCTCTCACAGAAGTTTTACTGTCATCAGACTGAAAAAAAATGTTCAACATAAAAGAATACTGTAATAAGCCACTTTAAAAATCTGTATGTCATTAATATACCTTTTTAAAGGAATACATTCATTTTCCAGTAATGATGAAAATATATTTTGAAAATATAAATTGAATATTGTTAATTTTTTTTATTTTTCTATAAAGTACAAACTAGTTATCAGAAGTCTCAGGATGTTGTTTTTAGTTTTTAACTAAATAAAATCCTCCTGCTCTATGAGTCTCAGATGTTTCTTAAAAGACATGTCATATACTGTACACCTGTGACATTGTTACTGAAATACAATTAATTTCAGATTTARTTTTAATGTTAGAAGTTTACCATACATAGGGAGAAAAATGTATTCAGGTGTGATAGTTGCCACTGAGACTGGCACTTCTTCCAAGACTATCTATATTTATACTTTTAAATTGCAATCATGTTTTTTCCTCTTCTAACAAATGAATTTCTTTCAGCTTTATGAGACATAAAAAGTCTGACCACTGATATGGCTGATCCTGAATTCATATAATTTATATGTGGCAGTAAAACTTATTGAAAATACAGCTCCAGTTTTTCACAATTAACTTATTCCACCAAAACCCAAGATCAAAATAGCCTACCCTTGGTCCATAGCTCTGTCACACCTAGAGGTTCTGCCTGCCTATACTGTGTTTCATGTCCAACAACTTCCTAGCTACATGAGGTCAGAACTAAATGTATAAACGTCCACTTTAATGACTGTTTAATTCAACTTTCTTCTACAGAAATAATAGATTTTAAAAGTAACAAACTTGTAATTTTTGAGAGCACACTAAATTTATCAAGAGTACTTTACCTGAGAGTCCAATGGTACATTATACACTTCTGCATCCAGTAAGACAGTACAAGCACTAAATGGCAGTGTCTGATTTGCCAATGTTCTTGCAGCTCTGTAATGAACACGGAGAACTTCCTGTTCATTGGATACAATAAGCTTTTCCTAGGTGAACAAATTAAAAAAAAAAAAACCTTGAACAAAATGTTTTTGAAATAAGATAAAATCACTTAATATATGCTAAATAACTATAATCTCAGTTTCCTTCACAGTAGGGTTGAGAAATTAAAAAATTCCTAAAAGTATACAATTTAATTCCTGAACATTTTATCATTCCAGAAAGAAATCCCAATGCATTAGCAGGTACTCTTTCCCCATCTTCTGGCATCCAGCAATCTACCTGTTCTGAACATTTAATATAAATGAAGTCATTCAATATGTGGCCTTCTGTGACTGCCTTATTTCACTTAGCATAATTTTTTAGAGGTTCATTCACATTATAGTATGTAGCAACACTTTATTTCTTTCTATGAAAACAATATTCCACTCTATGGATATACCATTTTATTTCTCCATTTCACCAGTTTATCATTGTGGGTTGAGAGTGCAAAATATGCCACTCAAAGCATGCCATTTAAACGTGGGAATTATTCTGAGCTGAAGTCACTTGAAAAATAGCAGGTGCAGTAGCACTCTGACCTCCCCCTTTCTTCCTGAAAGGAGGACATAAAACTCCATGGGAAAGATGTCCTCTCTATACCAGGAAGAAAAAAAAAAAAAAGAGTTTTATTATCAGAGATGGAGAATCAAGGCCAAGTGAACTCTACAATAACATTTTATTAAAATAATTTATATCTTCCTTTAGTTTTTTTCCACAATTGCCTTTGTTCAAGTTAATATAAAAGCATTTAAGTTTCATTATTTCAAGTCTTCATTTCCTTATGAGGGCTCCGATGTTATATAAAACTTACATGAAAGGTTTTCTCTTGTTAATCTGCCTTATGTCAATCTAATTCTCAGGCCCAGACAGAGGTCCTAAGAGGGCAGAAGCAATGTTTTGCCTCCTCTACAGGCTGTTATCCTTTGGGGGCTATCCTTAAAAAATGCTATTATGAATATTCAAGTTCAAAATTTTGTTTGGACAGGTTTTCTTTTCTCTGGGGCAAATAACTTGGTATGAAACTGCTGGGTCACAGGTTTGTTTAACTTCTTGAGCAGCTGCCAAACTCTTTTCTACAGTAGCCTGAATCAATCATTTTACACTCCTACCAGTAATGCAAGAAGGTTCCAATTTCTTTATATCCTTCTCAATGCTTGTGATCTTTCAAATTATTGTTCTTCGAACAGATGTGATGTGGTATCCCTTTGTGGTAACAGCTTCTCTTTTATAATAAATATTTTCATATAAAATACTGTTTGCTGATGCCAACTGATTGATTTAAACCTCTGACCATCACAGTAAAATCTTGCTTGAAGGAAATGAGGTCCAAAATGTAATAGAGTCCTAAAGCTAACAAAATGAAATAAGCAATCTTCTGCATATAGGAGACTAAGAATTCCAGGGGTCCAGCTAAAGATCTCACCCATCCTGTTACAGACTATAGACATGTGCCACCAGATGGTAACTATTTTGGTGCTTAAATATGAATGGGAAAAACTCTGGAATCTGTGGCTGGTAAGAACATCTAGGATAGAAGTGGTGACTCCAGCTACTACGCAAGTATGGTATTCTTTCATTTTGTTGGCCTTGTTTGGGAGGCTGGGCTGGGAGAATACAAAGGATATATCTTGTCTTCTCACTACATGTTCTCCACTCTGCCCTCAAATGACAAGGACTTTAGTTTTCCTTCATTTGAGAATGCAGGTGACAAATGATATTGAAAAGGGGTTAAGTCTAACGTTTATGATTAAGTTTAAAGTGCAACTTGAAATGATAAACACCCCAAAATTTGATCTGATAGTAAGAGAAAACCAGCTTAAAGAACTTTCCTAAGAAATTGTTTAGAGTCCTATAGAAATAAGAACACTAATTAAAATCTTTCAAAAGCAAATACTGTGTGAAAAACATATTTTTTAAGTTTTTATTGGTTTTGGTGCTAGGGTCAAAGCGCATTTTGTAAAGTTAAACCCTTCCTCTCTTCAAATAATTAAGAGAGATATGCTGCTTAATTGCTAGTCCAAATATGCCATTTTAGATCAGTGTTTCTAATTTTGTGTCTCTGAGTCCCTAGAGCAGTGCTAAAGTACTGCTTCCTCTTATTTTCGGTGGTGCATGGGGCATTTCTGAACAAATGAGCCTGGGGCTAGCTGGGGTAGCAAGCCTTGTTCATTCACTTAGCATAGCATTCAAATGGCATCATTTTCTGCAGGGAAAATAACCCTATGATAAGAGTTCTTAACTTGGGGTCCTCACACTCAAGAAGCCTTTTTTAAATTAAAAGAAAAAAATTTTAGTTGTCGATGGACCTTTATTTTTTTTATTTATATGCAGTGCTGAGAATTGAACCCAGTGCCTCACACATGCTAGGCTAGTCTCTACCACTGAGCTACAACCCCAGCTCCCAAAACCCTATTTTTAAGTGTGTGGAGTGGGGGAAGTGATCTGTAAAACTGGATTGGACTGTGCCATTCTGAGAAGCATGATGAAACCTTGCACCATTATGTTCTGCCCCATCTAGGAGGTGAATCATTCCTTTGTCCAGAATATACACACTAAATGCTCCCCTCTTATTAGTAATTAATATCTCATACAGCTTAGTAGTTACCAGCAGTTATCAGGTTGATTGGTACTAGTGTTTTGGTTCAAAAGTACCCTTATTTAACTTAGTAATGCCCCCAAGGTCCAAAGAGAAGTGATGCTGGCAATCTAGATATGCCAGAGATGCCAGAAAGTGTTTCCTTCAAGTGAAAAGTTAAAAGATTAGGACTTAATAAGGAAAACAACAACAACAACAACCTGCATAGTAAGATTGCTGAGATCTAAGGTAGTAACAAATTCTGCACAGTGTGTGTGTATAGTACAGGATTTTGAGACATTGTGAGACAACCACATAACTTTCATACAGTCCACTGTTATAATTAGTCAATCTCTACTATACCTAATTTTTAAATTAAACTGTATCATGGATGACTGTATAGGAAAAAAAAAACTGTGTATGTACGTATGTACATATGTGCATACACACACACACATACACACATGCACATATATATACACACACACACATGATGGTTTGGTACTTTCTGCAGTCTCAGACCGAGGGTCTTGGAATATACCCTTCATGGATGAAGGGGGAACTACATCATGGATGTATTTGTCTGCTGTTGTAAGACATGACAGCAGTTCTTCTGGTAAAAACATTTCTATAACACAGTTAGCCCAGTATCAAGTTATTCTGTAGCTAGTAGTTATTCATCCACCAAATAATAAAGTTGATCTCATGGTGGTCAGATATTTAAGATACTTTCTAGTAAGCTGCGATTTAATTGTTTGTTGGTCAATATGTAGGAGATGACAATCCTGTTATTTGTTAAAATTCTGCAAAGCGCACAATTCAAATGAAAATCCTGAACTGTAACAAGGCACAGCTTTCTATAACCTGAAGAGGAGTATAGATAAATGCTATCGAGGCTTCAAATAGGCCTAACAGCTGAAATAGCTACTGACACACTGAATGACCTAATTGCTTATTGCTGTTAGGAAATTATGCCCAGTGCTTCTTTATTTGTTGCTTCTCTCTGTGATTCTACTAATTCTACATTATTCACTTAAAAAACATTGTTCTAATGGATTCCAGATTGTTTCAGAAGTCCATTGTACAAAACACATAAAAAGTTTCTGTCATGGGGAACCAATTATGTATGAATCAAAGGAGACTGTATATTTCTATGAAGGAGGAGAACAATTTATATATTCAGATTCACTTGACCCTTCCACAAAATTAAGGTGTTATATTTTTGTAAATCCAACTGAAATGCCTTTCATGATTTTTACAAATCTGTTTTTTTTCCTATAATTTTATGCCAAGACTAACTACTGAAAACCAGATACTAAGGCAGAACTATAAGGCCAAATAAACATAGCCTCTATAGTTTAGCTCTAAAGTGGACAGTATTAAGCCAAGGATTCAAAAACTTAGAAATCTGAATATCCTTCTAGGAATCTATTGCTATCATTCTACAAACTCAACAATGATAATAAGTGTTTACTAGAGACTTCTATGTATCAAAAATATACTTAACATGGAACAACTATACTAAAAGAGGTATAAAATTTTTCTCTTTAATTGGATTAGTACAAGCTAACAAAGTCAGTTTAACTATTTCCAAAAATGACTCTAAATAAGGAAAATCCACTAATGGAAAATAAATTATAGGCCATTTTGTCACTAAAATAAATTATTGCATAAATGTATTTAAAGGTATCTTACCCTTTCAATACTGTGTTGCAAACGTAGTTTCATCCTTACAACTTCTTGTTGCCGAAAAAGCTCTTTAAGTGGATCTGACAGAGAAGGTGGTGGTGTGATCTAATTAAAAAATTGGAATCAGTTATTTACAACAATGGGCTCTTTTTTTCTTTTAAAATTAAACTTCTGGCATATAACTTAAAATCCTGATGTTCTGTGAATTAAATAAAGGTACCAATTATACAACTGGTTGTTACTTCTCAGTCAATTCAAACTGTTTGAAATATAGCAGAATGTGCAATATGCATAGGTGTTTTGATTCTGAGGCCACAGAATATTCCAAAGAGTAAATCAGAGGGATTAAGGAAGTTATTTACTGTGGAGGACAGACATAAGCTTCTTTGTGGACATGATAAAAATCAAACACTAAAACATTTGAGCATTACATTTAGTGAACTATGTCATATAAAAGTAGATGAAATGGTCTAATAAATTTGTAGTTTTCAAATTTCATTACTATGTGTGATATCATAAATTTGTCCATCTGTACTCTAAAATTAAAATTTACTGGTTACATTTCCATTTTGATATTAGAGTGTGCTTTTTCTGATAGATGGTGGTTAAGGAAGTTGACTCAACATACGGATGCACTCTACTAATAATATAAAAAGATATCTAAATATGGATGTGATCCCTAAGTTTTCTCCTCTAGCCCTTGGAGTATCTGTATTTTCCTTGCATATACTTGCTGTCAGTGTATTAGGGGAAAGTAAAATATCTCAGGATATTTGACAGCTTAACTGTCAATTCCATATGAAAGTAGAAGAATTCTCAATATGGTACAAGAATCATAACAGTATGCATCAAATCTCTTAGTGAAGAATTGGACATGGATCCACTAAGGCTCTATAATTAACAGATAAGAATTATGGGAAACCAAAATGTATTAGATAAAATCACAATAATTGAATCATTCCAATCAGAATGGAAAATGCTATATGGCAAATAACTTACTGGGCTGATCATTTTTTAGATCTCTAATTGCAGTAATATATTCGATTTCTGTCCTATGAACTGCTTTAAACAAGAGCTATGAGTCTGGTGCTCTTTACTTTTGGAAAATCTAGCTATCTCAATTATCACAGAGGAAGAATATCCCGTCATCTAAGCTGGGGTATCAGAGACAGCTTCCTTGATTTAATAGAAGAAATGAGTTCCTATGGGGGTGGGGGTAGAAAGAAGGGAGGGACATAGTCACCAGAAAAGAGGGGAGCATGATCCAAGGTATGAAACAAAGAAACAGAACAGGATCTATAGGAAACTACCAGAAGTTTTGAATTTCTTTCAGATTATCTTTTTTCTTCCTATACAGGAAACTAAACCCATGAGCACTCTACCACTGAGCTACATTCCCACCCTTTTAAAAAATTTGAGACAGGGTCTAACTAAATTGCTGAGGTTGGACTCAAACTTGCCATCCTCCTGCCTTCTGAGCCACCTGCCTGCCTGGCTTGAAACATCAAATTTGAGGAAAGGAATGGTGAGCTATGTGGGTGAAGAGATCAGCAAAGCAATGAAGTTTGTAAATCAGCCTTTCCACAGAATATATGTCCATACAGATAATGTCCAGGAAATGATCTCAGAACAAGTATGTTTGGGAAACACAGTATACATGTATTTACGTAGGAGTTGCACAACTACACATTAAAGGTTCTAAGAAGTCCTGCAACAAAGCAATCTATTTATTTTTAGATAAATAGCATTTCCCAAAGTTCTGGACCATGAAAACTCCCACACAACACACATATAAAGTATTTAATTAACAAGCTGGAGAAATATGCATAACACAATAAATTTGGATATAACACGGAATCACTGAAAGGTCTTATGGTTGACTGCTGTCTCTAAGGAATATAATACTAGGGGGACAAGATCAATGTTATGTTGGTGTGAGATGCAAGATGGAGCTATGAGGCAGGGTCCAAAAATATTAGTGATTAAGAGGGATAAAAGGAAGGAACTAGCTTAAGTCTCTAGTTCTCAAATTAAAACCTACACATTTTGAGAACAAGAGGGTGGTAATAGTGACAGAGACCACAGAGTGGAGAGGAGAAAGAGGTTTTTTATTGTAAATTCAGTTCAGTGCTGATGTGTTGAGTTTGTGAAGTTTAAGGGACATATGTAGAAGCCAAGGAGTGAGAAGTCTGGGCAGAATACGTAAATTTGGCAAACAACATATATCACATGCAGAAAGAGATAAAAATCAAAGAAATATATGACTTTCTGAGGAAACTTTTCCTGTGCAATTTTCCTCAACTTCGGTAAATTATGCTTGGAGATTTTTTTGTTTGGCAGAGTGGGGAATGAGCTCTTAACTTAGGAATGGTTTACTACTGAGCTGCATTCCCAGCCTTTTATATTTTTTGAGATAGGAAGGGCCTCACTAAGTTGCTCAGTCTGCCTCAAACTGGAGATTCTCTTGCCTCAGTCACACTGCAATTACAGGTACATACCACCACAGCAGGCTCTTGGAATTTTTTTTTTTAATATTTCAGCCCCAGAAGCCCTGAAAATACTCTCTTGACAGATTCTAAGGGAACATATTTTCCTCTTATCATTCAATCTTGGAAAGCCTCTGAAGGGTTTCTGTAAAGTGTGTTTTTACTAGAAACCCCAGTAGATACCAAATTGGATATTTTTTCTCCTTGCTCATTTGATTTGGGAAACTTGTCGTGCAGTTTTATTTTTTGTCCCTTGATTTCTTCTGGAAAAATGGCAACATTCTGGTTAAAATGTGAGGGTAAGAATTTAATGGAAGAATAAATATATAAACTGACTTTGGGATGTTTATAAAATGTGATGACTTTGAGATAAATGTGAGTCAATTATTTTGTTAAGACAAAAAGTCATTTGCTAGGAGAAAACTAATGAATAATACCATATTGGAAAGTACAAAAAACAATGTAGTATCAAAGTAATTGTTATTATTTCTGGTGTTCATTAGTTTTCAAATTAAACTACAAACAAGTTTCAGTTCATAAATTCAAAAGCACAACTTTCTATAAGCAAAATATTGGATTCCATACATCATCTCTAGTAAATATTAGCATAAATTCATTTGGTGTGGGATACAGTAATGGGAGCTTCTTAAATCAGTATTATTTTATAAAGGTTTTAACAGGTTTCAGGATCACAGTATTTCAAAAGCTGCTTCAGGGTGGGGCAGACATTTTTCTTGTTTTACAGATGTGGCTGCTAAAGATCAGAAAAGTAAAAGGAATCATTCAAGAATGCTGGTGTGTAGCAAAAGCTATATTTTAACTCATGTATGCTAAATGGAAACCTGCTCTTTCTACTATATTGTGCTATGTTTCTCTACATAAGTAATTCTTGCTATAGAAAAAAAATCCACTACAATCACAGATAATTCTCAGCTCTGTTTATAGACTCTTTTGAAACAATATTTGATACAACAGAGTTCTTACATAAGCAAAGACATTCCTTAGAACTGCTTCATAGGAATCAAATTTTTATTATGTCACCTTTGCAGGAGTAAAATGATGGTACACACAATAACTTCTCTCTCTGGCAGAGACTGTGCAAAGAAGGCAACCTAACATGGTTTGTTTGAAACTTATTTTTTAACTAAGGTGTTAAAAATGTAATTTAAATATGCCTATGACATTTAATATTATAGCCTATTAAATAAATAATATATAGCCTATGATACTATATATAAATTTCAGTTAAAATTTCTTATCCTTTAAGGGGAAATCAAATTTAGAAATAAATAAAAAAGTTACTAGCTTAACATGCTTTGAATTATTAACAAATGGTTTTGCTGCAAGTCTATGAATGACAAATTTACCTTACCATTCATTACTATTCGGCCACTACTGCTAATATAATTTTCTTTTAAGGTTTAAAAGGCACTGGCATTGGGTATATTCTGCGGCTGTGAGGCTATAAAACCAACTTCTAATTTTCTGATCTTTTCTGAACTGAGCTTGAAAGACAAAACAACATCTGTAAAGCATGATGCAAAATAGCACATGATAGTCAGCAGACTTCAAGTATAGCCAGTAGTAACTAGTGTCAAGTCTAGAAAGTAAAGGAAGAACACTGTGTGCAAAAATATGAAACTGTGACTTTAGCCTATAGAAAACTGGTAGTCCCTCAAGTCTGGTAGTCAAATAATCAGGTGTGTTTTATAATGAACCCAGACCATAACAAGGCTAGACTGAGAAATTATTAGATGAGAACTACCGAAATAAGGCAGCAATGCTTTGTTCTGATATCTACTCACTAGCACAGTGAGCATACAGTAACTGGCATATAGTTATGAATTATTTGTGAATGCAACATGGATATGTGAATATGCAATATTTGGTGAATAGTTCAAGGAGTAAATGAAATCCCTGAATGGCAGTGGTAATAAAGAAAGAAGGAAGCTGGGTGCAGTGACACACACCTGTAATCTCAGCTACTGKGGTGGCTGAGACAGGAAGAGTCCAAATTCAAGGCCAGTCTGGGCAACTTAGTCTCAAAAAAGGCTATATCTAGAGAGGAAGCTCTGGGGATATAGCATTCTTGGGTTCAATTCCCCTGTACTATGCCCCCCAACACACACACCAAAAAAAAAAAAAAAAAAAAAAAAAAAAAAGTCGAAGAGGTGACTTAACAACATGATTTAGTGACAGATTTGATGGGAAAGCAAAGAGGAAGAAATCAAACCTTCAAGGAGTTTCCTGTATGNGGTGGCTGAGACAGGAAGAGTCCAAATTCAAGGCCAGTCTCGGCAACTTAGTCTCAAAAAAGGCTATATCTAGAGAGGAAGGCTCAGCAGTAGTGCGCTTGCCTAGTCAATTCCCCTGTACTATGCCCCCCAACACACACACAAAAAAAAAAAAAAAAAAAAAAAAAGAAAGTCGAAGAGGTGACTTAACAACATGATTTAGTGACAGATTTGATGGGAAAGCAAAGAGGAAGAAATCAAACCTTCAAGGAGTTTCCTGTATGGGAACTGGAGAATAGGCATCAATAACTAATACTTTAGTTTACTATCAAATAAGAATGTTATATATTCAAATATTTATCATATTGTACATGCAAATAATTTTGAGGTAAGATAAATGGGTTTGATATTAGGCCTATGATTCTAAGAATCTTGAGGAACATTTATATATTCAGAAGGATATTCAGGGCTAAAATTGGGAGTTATTCTATAAAGGATGAATAGTATCCTATCCCTTAATTAGATTATAATACAGAGGCAGAGATCAATTAGGATATCATGGGGAAGAGATAAGGAAAACACAAGTAATTCTGCTTTGACAGAAGCAGAAGTGACATCATGGCTAGAACCAACGCATGGAAAAGTATCAAGGGGGTCTAGTGAGAAGAACATCTTAGGGAGAGGGATATATAGCAGTTCTATCACTAGGGTATCAAAAGTACTGAACCAGAGATTCCTGTGGAATAATGAGTTCATTTAAGGTACTAGGTGAATCTGGAAATAGTATTGAGAAAATGAAGCTAAATAGGTAGACTGGGGTCAGATTGGTAGAGCGCTTGCCTTGCACACGTGAGGCACTGGGTTCGAGCCTCTGCACCACATAAAAATAAATAAAATATTGTGTCCATGTACAACTGAAAAGATATTTTTTAAAAATTGGATTTTAAGCTACAGCCCATGCAAAGCCAATAAACAAGAAAATGGCTTTTTAATTTTTATTGATGAATTAAGTAATTTTTTTTTGGTACACGTTAGAGCTTGAGGACTTAATGCAAGAATGAGGTACTCACTACCTAGATCCTGGGAGTGCTGGTAGATGAGAGCTCATGCTGGAGTCCCTCTCAAAGAATTACCTTTCAGGAAAGAGTGCTGGCTGCCCAAGGGCATGCTCCCTCCCTGAGGGCAGGACAACCTGTAAGATGGGCCATTCCACTCCCAAGGATTCCACTGAGATCACTGTTTTGCATTTCAGTTCAACTTCTCATTCTTTTCAGTTCTGCTTCCTCACACTTATTTCTGATTACACACAACTAATAAACCTCTAACAAAATATTTCAGAGTCTGCTTCCTAAGGAACTCAACCTAAGACACTGTTTGAAGGATAGTTAGGTGATGATGCTCAGAAGGCACCTGTTTGATTCTGGAAGTCAAATGATATGGCTAAGTACAAAATCTCTGAGAACTATCACCTGGAAGAGTCCTGAAAGCAGAGAAATAGATAATTTCCATATCTGAAGAGCTCATAGAGCAAAAAGTTGACTAAAGAATGGATAGTCAGAGAACTCATATCTAAAGGGTGGGTATAAAAATGAAGTCATAAAGAAAGAGAAGATGATTAGTCAGGCAGAGAAACTACAAGAGAGCATCATCATAACTAAGAAGGGGAAAATTTTATGAAGAACTAGATGGTACCAATGTCAAATTTGACAAAAAAAAAAAAAGAAAAATGAAAAGAGGCCAATAAATCTGACTCAACACATGAGCTCACTGTTTTTCTCTGCCAGTAGATAATGGCTAAGGAATTAATAGGAGACGACACAGGAAAAAGATCATACACAGTCTATTCTTCAAGAGTATGGCAGGGAAGGAAAGAGCCAAGGGCAAGTCCCATGAGCTATAATAGGCAAGGGAGAACTTTTTTCTCCTCCATTCTGGGGAAACCCAAATATATTCTGTATGGGTAAATAAAGAACAACAGAAAGGCCTAGTTTGATATACAAGGACAGTGTTTTAATAGAGGAAGGTTCCACGTAGAATTGGAAAGAATAAAATCAAAAGAATATGGAGAGGCATTAGACTTCAACATACCTCCTCCAAAACAAAAGCAAAGCAAGGAAGAAAAAGAAAATATGGTAGACTTAAGCTATCCAGTAAGGAAGCTACTAGTTGTAAATGGCTATTGGGCACTTTCTGAAATGTGGTTAGTCTGAATTGAAATATATTGTAAACAAACCAGATTTCAAAGATTCAGTTAAAAACAAGTAAAATATCTCAAAAGTTTGTCTACATTGATTAGGTGCTGAAATGACTCTTTGCAAGTACAAAATTACATAAATTATTACAATTAATTTTAACTGTTTCTTTCTACTTTTAAAATGTTGACTAGAAAATTAAAAATTACATGGCCTGCATTACAATTTACATTGAACATTGTTGTATATGTATATCAAGTGACACTTATACTTACTGTGGGAATACAAATCTTGCTTAAAGGGTTTCCATCCAGGAGGTATGATCCATTAAATGTTACATATTCATCATAATACTGAGGTGCTTGAGGAATAACACTACACAATAATTTGCGCTTTTCTTCAATTTTTTTCCTTATGTGCAAGTATTCAAAATATGGATTTGCTCTCTCGGAACTATATGGCTGAATCTCATCTAGTTTCAGAGAATCTACAATGGCTGCCAGAGATTGCTGTGTTTTCTCTTTTGCTTGTAGTAAAGAAGGACTCACTTGCACAGGCTGAGGTACACGGGACACTTTCCTTTTTCGAGGATGGTGAATCTGAGGATCATCATCTTCAGTTAATCTTATTCTTCCCCTAGGAGATGAAGATTCACTGTCTTTTTCTGGCAACAGTGCACAACTAGAAAGAAGTTGTTTGCTTTGATTTGCCACCATATTTGCTTTGTTTCTAGTCATTCTTTGAGGGATCTGGTTTTCAGTTTTATCATCTTCAGCATTTTCTTCTAATTCTACTTTGACTAATTGACCATATTTATGCATTTCTGGCTGAGCTGACTGCTGCGAGTGGTTCTCCAGACTTGATAAAGTGCTTTGTTGAGATTCTTCATCTTCAATGGAAAGCAAACACTTTTCACTTTCAGGACAATGTTTTGGATTATCTTGTTCATTTAGGTTTCCTTTTGGCATCCCTACATTCATTTCACATAAATCAGAATCGCACTTATTCAAATGAGATAAAACCAAACTCTCCAATTTGTTCTCTTTTTCATGTGAAATAACCTGAATGTCAGGTGAGCTGTTTTCAACTTCATGGCCACTGGAAGATTTATAAGCTAGTTTACTAAATGCATAATGTGTATTTAGCTGAGAGGAGGTATCACTTACGTTAAAATCTTTTTCTGATGGTAATATAGACAAAGTGTTAGCTTTATCAAAATTTGGTGATGCTTCTTGACTAGTGCTTTCAGAGTACACTGAGACATCTGCTAGAATGAAACTATTTTCCATATCTTTTGCAGATTCGTTATCAGTATCCAGAACAGAAGTGATCATTTGTACAGTATTTTTCTGTTGTAAAATACTGGGCTCTTGATTGGCAACATATGACAAAGACACATGTTTGGAGATAGATTCAGCATCTGAAAGTGACTGACTGGGGAAAGAGCAAGGTTGCTGTGAAGGAAGAAAGGATGCTGCATCCTGAGCACAAGAGTTTCCTGGCAGTTCAGTCTGGTGAAGAGATAAAAAATCAGTATGATGTTCTTTCAATACTTTGTTTTCTGAATTACAAAAACCCGGAACAGAGGAATCTTGATCAGGTATACTAGTATTTGTGCAGATAAAGTCACCAGCACTTAGTGACTCTAGTCTATCCACAGGTATCTCCCATGATTTATTCTGGATCACACCAACCTGATTAGATGGTTCCACATGCACAGGACTGTCCATGGCACCGACTGGAGCAGTATTCTTGATTACATTTATATCAGTTGAAATATATCTGCTGTTTACAGATCTAGTTGGAGAGGTTACAAAACTGGAATGTATGTTAGATACATTTGAGAGGTCTTTTTCAGGCACATTTGATGATAACTCAGGTTTGGGAGAAGGGCAAATATCTCTTGGCACAGCTAATAAGCTACCTTGATTGCTTTCTTCTGATACTGTTTGGAATTGTTTCGTGTGTTCACAAATGACAGATGGCATGCTACATCTTCGAACTTCTACAATAGGTCTCCCCTCATTTATAACTAGTTTAACATCTTCTACAGAAGATGACCTGAGATGGGATGCTGGAAGTCTATTAGCATATGATGGTTTAATCCGTTCTGGCAGTTCAGCAAGGCTGTCCAACTCCCTATCGTGAAGGGCAGGAGATTTGGCAATTGGCAAAAATGGTGACTGGGAAAATGACATTTGGGACTCGGAACCCTCTAACATAAAGTCAGAGTCATATTCAACCAGAGGCCTTGGAGTTGTCATGGTAGTATGGCAGGAATCTTCTGAACTAGCAACAGAAATCATGGATACAGATCTGGAGCTGAGACCGGGCTTTTCACTTTCTGATCTAGGAGACCTGTTTAAACTACTGTCTGAAACAAAAGATGACTTCCCTAAAGTGATTACATTTTTGGTGTCAACAGATTGTGATCTATTACTAACTGCATCTTTAGACTGTTTCTCCTTGGTATAAGCATCAACAAGTTCTGAACTCTTTGACCTACTAAGCTCCTTGTTTTTGGATTCAACTAGGGCATGTTTTGCTTTTTCTTTATCTTTCACTTTAACTTCTAAACAATTTCGATTTCTTAATCGTTCCTTTTCTTTTTGCTTAATTTTTTCCTTATGTTTTTTATGCCACTGTTCTATTTCTAGGTCTTTAAGGCTAAGCATTCGTTCAAAACTTGTCTGCATTAAATCATCATTCACTAACCTCTTTTCTTTGGGTCGAATATCTTTTGATGCTGGTGAAGATTTAGATTTAGACTTATCTGTTTCAGATTTTAATTTGAGTAAACTATTTAGATGGATTTTATCTTTATGTTTGTCTCGTTCTTTGTATCTATCTATATCTCTATCTTTTTTATCTTTTTCTTTTCCATCTGGTGTTTTCAAAGGTTCATCTTTTGTTTTTTCTTTAAGGGATAAAGTTTTCTCATGTTGTGCTTTACTACTACTGTCTAATGTACTTGACTTTTTCTCTTCCATTAAGTGTTTGGAGTTAGCTATATTTATACTTTCTTTGTCTCTGGACTTTTCCTTTTTATCTACTTCCCTGTCTTTGTCTTTACTTCTGCCTTTTTCTGATTTAGCATACTCACTGTTATCTGATTGTTTATTTCTTTTCTCTAAGTGTTTTTCTTTGCTTTCTGCTAAATGCCTCTCTTTTTCAGTTTTTTCTTTGTCATGTTTTCTATCCATCTTTTCTCTATTTTTCTCTCTGTCATCAGTTTTTTTAGTAGTACTATTTTTAATCTTCTCACTTTCTTTATAGCATTTTTCTGTGTGATGTGAATATAGCTTGTCCTTTTCTTTTATTCTCTCAACACAGTCACTAAAATCTAATTTTTCTTTTTCTGACCTATGCTCATGTTTTATCTTCTTCTCTTTTTCAGAATTTTTTCTTTCAGTCTTTTCAACATCTTTCTCTTTAGTTGGAAATCGTTTCTCAGATTTTTCCTTACTTTCTTTTGTATGCTTTTCTTGTTTTTCAATGTCCATTTCCTTTTCTATTGAATGTAGCCCTACAGATTCCTCATTTAAAATTAAACATGAAGAACTGAATTCTGTTTCTTTATCTGTAGGTACATTTTCTCTTTCTTCCTTTAGATCTTTTATCTTGTCTTCCCTGAAAGTTTTCTCACTTTCCTTCTTAATCTTTTCCCGTTCTTCTTTAAAGTTCCTCTCTTTTGAGGTATGCTTTTCCTTAGTTGGTTTATCATCTTTTATGTTTTTTTCCAATTTTGATTTTTTTTCTAATGTTAAGGACTCATGCTCCATATTTAAAAACAGATCTTCAGTTTCATCACTTTTAAAAAAATTCTCTTTCCAAAATTCTCTATCAAATTCTATGCTCCTCTGCAGTTCCTTAGTGCCATCCTTATTTTTATATTTTTCCTTTTCACCTTCAATTTCTTTTTTGTGCTTTTCTTTTTCTCTATCTTTATGTTTCAATTTATGTTTTTTCAGTGTTTTGCCCTCTTTATCCATTTTTTTCAGTGTACAATCAGAATTTTCAAATGTTGGACTATGATCTTCATCCTTCAATTTGGTATTTGATTTTTCACCAAATTCTAAGTGAAAATCTTTCTGATGTTTGTTTTTTTCCTTATGCTTATAAGATTTTACACAGGAACTTTCAGGCAAGAATTCAGATTCTGTATTTTCATACCGAACAAGATCAGGCTGTAATGACATTTCAGAGCTTCCTGGAGATAAACATGTTTTAGTATGTTCTTGTTTCAGGGGTGTTGACTGTTTTTCACTCAATCCACAAGAATGTTTGGGAGATTTACCAGTAGAAATATGAAATAAATGTAATGAAGTATCATCTTTTGGACTAAAAGATTTCCTGAAATTCCCCTCCTCTCTGGTCTTTTCTGGACAATCTAGTGCAGTAGTAACTGTCAAGTTTGTTACTCTGGTATTTTCTTTTCCCTCTTTTTCTTGCTTTAACTCTTGGTTTTCTTTATTTTTGTTCTGGTTTTTTAATTTTCTTTTAACTTTGCCTTTCTGCTTATATTCATATTCCTTTTTTGTTTGTATATCAGAATTTGATGTTTCAGGGATAGAACATGCAGTAGAAACCTTTTTGTTCTGAAGAACTTCTTCATCAGAACTTTCAGTACTTGAATACAGAACCCTAGAAGATTTTTGTTTTTTACTTTTAAATGATTTAGAATAGAAGGATTTCTCTTGTTTTGCAAATAAACTACTCTTTTCTGCTTCAGATTCATTCTCTTTTCGTTGTTCTTTCCTAAGAATATGCCTGTCATCAATCATTTTATTTATTTCTTCATCATCATCGTCTTTGAACTCATATTCATCTAGGGCAGATGGAAGAGGTGCTTTACTGGGAAGAATCTGTTTACTTTCACAGAGGAGAGAGTCCTTTTCTGTTTCAGAATCAATATTTTCATCAACACTAGATGGATTGACAGACTGAGCCTCTTCAGAATCTAGAATAAGAAAAGTAAAGTCTTGTTGGTCAAAATACAATTATGAGAAAAATAAGACAGAGGGAGAAACATAGCTTATATAGTAAATATTTAAAAATAATTCAGACAAAATCATTTCAGATTTACATGTACATCATGCAATAAAAATATGCAAGAGAGCTGGGGATTTGGTAGAGTGCTTGCTTTGCATGCACGAGGCTCTGGGGTCAATCCCCAGCAGCACCAAAATATGTGTGTGTGTGTGTGTATACATATATATAATGCAAGAGCTCTGGTACAGTACTATAGAACAGGTTTATAGAGAATTACCGTTATGATGACTTCCTTTTGGCTATTCTACAATTATATGTTAAATTCAAAATATATAACATAAAGAGCAAAGGACACTTACTCAGCGCAATCATTAACTATCAAATGATAAACATAAAATTCTATATATATCTTTTCTGGAGAGAGAACAGTTAAGATCTTTAGACTATGGAAATATTAAGAACTATTAAAGGGTTTAAGTAAGTAAACATGATAAATTGCTTTGTTGTATCAAAAAACTTATCAGTAAAACTGGAAATGRTCACATGATTCCCACGAAGGGCAATGCTTTGTAAACAAAGGTTAAGTTTCCCCCCAATGCTGATAATTGAAACCAGGGCATTGCGCATGCAAGGTAAGCTATACCACTGAGCTACACATGCAGCCATAGGAAAATAGATTTAACCATACCACAAACATGATTCTTGGGGAAAACAAGTTGTGAAAAACTAAAAGAAATAACCCACAATTACATAATCAAGATTGTAATGGATAAATTGGAATAAATATATAATTTGAAAAGAGGTGCTCTGTTCCTTAATTTGTTATCTACAATTTCAACAGTTACTAAGATACATTTAGTTCAAAAGGGTGAATAAGCACATGAAAGCTTAATTTTATGAAATTACATCTAGCCTATTGTATAAATATAGCCAAAGCCTTGCTAGATTCTATTTTAGTAAGATTTGTTTAACAAAAAGAATGATTTTCTTCCCAGGTTGGCATCTTTTCTTAGCTGAAATGTATACATGGAGTTGTAACTGAAAGAACTTGGGACTCTTAAGGGAAAAGTAAACTGAGAACTCTGACCAGCAGGAACTTCACTAAACTAATCACAATAATAATTAAAACACTTAATTTACTAATTGTGTGTGTATGTGTTCTGCGAATGGAACTGAAGGCCTCACACATGCTGTATCTCTAGCTCCTGGCTTAATATTTAATAAAAGAAAAATGACACCTTACATATATTAAGCTTCCTCTACAGTAATCTAGCTCCTAAATATTCTCTTCAAAGGAAAATTCAAATTCTACAAAGATTTTTGAATGGCTATAAGGAACTGTCCTAGGATCTCTGAGAGATCACAATCTTCTTTTGAGGACAGTAATATCCCCACACATATCATTATAAAGTGCCATTCAATGATGTATTTACTCTCTATGTACTCATACTTGATGTACTGTCTATGTACTCACCTATATACTATAAAAAATTTTAGAATTGAAACTCTACATACATTTAAAATGCTCTTTGCAGTCATTATTTGGTGCAACCACTCTGCAAAGCAGTTTGGCAATTCCTTAGAAAACTTGGAATAAAACCACCATTTGACCAAGTTATCCTACTCCTCAGTATAAACCTAAAGGGCTTTAAATGAATGCAACTGGAGACTATAATGTTAAGTGAAATAAGCCAATCCCCCCAAAACAAAGGCTGAATTTTCTGATATGCAGATGCTAATACACAACAAGGGGGGAGGTTTAGAGAATAGATGAAGTACTTTGGATTAGACAAAGGGGAACAAAAGGAAGGGAGGGAGAATGGGAATAGGAAAGACAGAAGAATGAATTGGACATTACTTTCCTATGTTCATATATGTATACATAACCAGTATAACTCTACATTATGTACAAGCACAAGAATGGGAAGATATACTTCAAGTATGTATAATATGTCAAAATAGATTTTACTGTCATGTATAACTAACAAGAACTTAACAATCCTATTTGTAGTCATTAAAATTGCATTATGCAATATCAAGTCATAGAACTTTATCCAACAAATCTGAACATCTATTTTGGGGCTGTATTTATATTGGTCCTTGAAAACATGAATCAAAGAATACATATGTGAACATCTTATTTATACTTTTGGTCTGGAGGACATTTCTCTCCTTGCAATTTTCAATATTTCGTTTTTCATGGCTTCTATTCACCTTATTTCTCAATAGATTATTAGTTTTCCTGGAAATTGGGTTCCCTTTTATTGTCCCATAAAAGACAATAAAAAGTACAGTGTTCTACATTTAGACTCAGTATTGGGTAAATATTTATCTAGCTCCACTAGGCAGAGTGCTAGGTGCTAAGGGAATATAAAATGAAAAGATCACAGTCCTTGCCTAAAGAAGCAACTGTATTTTTAAGTTAAATGGCACAATAACTGGTAAAATGGCAGTAGATACCATGCCCACAGGGTGTACTCAAGAATGAGCTGCTCAGAAGGAATGGAGAATTAAAGAAGGTTTCTCAGTAGTAGTACTGAAATGATGCATGAAATATGCACAGGAATTTCAGGTAAGATTTAAAGGCATGAAAATAACTATTATATAAACAAGCAGCTGAAATCACAGTAGGTAATATTCCCACCCCATTCAATAGATTGTAGACACTTTGACACTATATTTTCATTGCTGTTTTTAATAGCTGCATATTAGACTATTAAACTAATTCCTCTATTGAGGCAACATTTAGGTTGTTTGATATTACAGATATTCAACAATGAAAAAGAATTTTAGAGTGTACTGTTACTTGGAAATAGCAGAATATAGTATTTGCATGTGTGTAAGAAAAAGGGAACAAGAGAAACATATTGAAATAGTATCTGCAGGAAACTAGTTGGAAGAATTATGATTTTTATTTTCTTATTTAGAGTTTTCTACATTTTCCAAATTCCTAGCACAATAGATCAATTTCTTTTATTGTTAGGAATTTTTTTTTAAAGTTCACTGCTATAAAATGGTCCCACTAACTTTTGTGATTATTGGTATGGATTATTGTTTTTTGCATGTGTTCTTCTTTTTTGTGTAATGCCACTTTGTAATTTCCTCAGCTATTTTCTTCTAACCTTTTTATGCCTATGAAAAGATCACAGTCCTTGCCTAAAGAAGCAAGTACACTTTTAAGTTAAATGGCACAATAACAGCTCAATTATATTATACATATGTTACAATATTTCATTTAACAAATCATAGTGTTTAAATTTTTGAATATATGTATTAAAGGTTGAACACAAATTCTCTTAAGGGAGTTACACATACATGTATACACTGAGAGATACATATTTTGTCTTTTACGTTCTTGTTTCATCAATTGAATGTATGTTCTTCAGTGTGTAAATGTCCTGACTTCCTCCTCCTAAAGGTTCTTTTTAAAAGATATGTTTAAAGGCAAAACTACAAATTCTAAAATTAACAAGTTAGCTGGACAGGAGCTAATGTCCACAATGACAGTCTTCAGAAATTTCCCTGGGTGAATAAACTCAATCTGACCTGGAGTACCAAGTCACATGCTTACCAGGCACACTCTGATGACAGTTTTTCTGCGCCATCTGTGATGATCTTATACTGCTTGCAGAGGCAGAAGCTGATCACCAGCCACTAAACCTCAGCAAAGACCATCACCTCCCTGATGCCATTTCATTTGCAGAAGAGGCTGAAATCCTTTTCCTTCCTTAATTACTCCTCAAATTTTAAAATCTACTTTAGCCACTAAGAAAGATCAACCTAGAATCTGGATTCTAGTGGGGCAGTAATTTTTCAAAAAAATATTTGTCCTGCCCTTCTCAGTAGATGGCTGCTTAAGTGAGAAAATCGTCTGTGTCCAAATCCTCAAATTCCTATAGTCAAAAATGGCCATGGTTATTGTTATACTATCATTTTGTCACACTTTTTAAAGTCTCTAATGTTTATCTAATTACTATATTTGAACTTTTACTTAAAGTAGCTTATAGAGTTACTTTTAAAAAGAGGGTGGAGATATAGGTGGGTGGTAGAATGCTTCCCTAGTAGGGGCGGGGCCCTAATTTAGATTCTCAGCACTGCAAAAGTAAATAAACTGTAAACAAAATGGAAATGGACTTTTAAAATTTTTTAATGTTTATCATGTATCAATTTATTCTCAACAATCTTATAATCATATTTGGGAAACTAGGAAAGATAATGAGAAATAATCAACTGTTGTAATGTCTTATTGGAAATTTTTAAAATAATTTCTTTCCCATAAAAACTAACAATTAAGCTTCACTTTAATACTTAGCAAATATACTTAAATACATTTGAAAATTGCTCTTTTACATCTCAAGAAAATTTTAGATGTCTGTTAACTAAGACTAGTGTCATTTAAACAATGGCTAAATGTTATAAGAGTTCTCTAGTATTCTAAGCTTAACTGAATCTACCATAAATGTTTATAATTTCTTATAGATCAAAATCCAGATGTGACCAACTTGGGGAGATCACAGTATACACAGTAAATCTCTCCCCTTGAAATCTCTCCAAAATAACAAGTAGAGAGATTTTGAAGGACTTTTGAAATCATCTGCATTATACATTACACACTTTTAGGAAAATAATTATTCTATTAACATTTACAGACATTTCAGGAGGGTGTGATGTTGACACAAAACTAAATATACCATCACTCTAAAAGTACAGTCAAGTCCAAGTCTCTACCTCCCATCTTTCCTCTGATATTCAGCCAACCAACTGTCTGGACTCCTGTAAACCACCCCAAAAATCAAGACTAAAAACATTAACTCATTATTTCCCTTCCATAAGTACTTCCTCTTGCTGCTTAAGCCAGTCTTCCCTACCTGAGCAATAACAAACAAGAAAGTTACTCAAATTAAAAAATCCCAGAGGCATTTTCTTTTTTTATTTATTAAAATATTGTTTTATTTTTCCAGAGCAATT